TTGATGATGTATGCCCAAGTTGGAAGTCTTTTTTTCTCTGTCTGTTGCAGAGGCTCTGGGAGGAGTGATATAAGGTGCTTTGGAAATGTGGTCTTTTTGCTTAAGTGGGTGGTGCATTTGACTGGGCTGTAATTCCAGAATTTTAAGCCCTTTGTGTCTTGTTTCACACCCCTTATGGAACATGCTTCTTTTCTTAGCTTCCTCCTACTGATCTTACTAGCAAACTCACAATCTTAGCAGAACGAGTTTTCTGTTGAGATCAGGATCACTTAGGCACAGCAAACTAGTATAAGTTGTATAACTGTAAACACGCAATTTCGACAACATTGTGCATAACCGGAGGGCCATATTCCAAAGCTTTCTCTATGGCATCAGCATTCTATTGTATTGGAAAGCTTGGAAGACATTTTCTTTCGCTATCTTAAATAAAATAACCTTTTAGAATAGTTTTTTTTAATTGATTTACTGCTCTATTTAGAGGTGAGCATGTTATAATTATTTTCTAAAAGGTAAATTATTCTTCCTTGGCAGTCATTGCTTTGTGATCCGAATCCAAATTCTCCTGCAAACTCAGAAGCAGCTCGAATGTTTAGTGAGAACAAGCGGGAGTACAATCGAAGAGTGAGGGAAATTGTGGAGCAGAGTTGGACAGCCGATTAAGTTCATCCTCATATGTATATGGGTCAACTTTAGTCTATCTGAAGCTTTGAAGGCATGAATTAATTAGGTTGCAGTGACACCTGTAAGAATCATCCTGTAAGAATCATTGTGCAAACTTATCAAGTTTATATTCCTTGCTGATATGAATGATAGAATCATCTTTAATTTATTGTTGTTTTTGTATTCCACGTTTCAGTTAATGTAAAATAGAATTGTATGTCAATTTACTCTGCAATTTGGATTGTTGTCGAAATGACATGGTTCAATACGAAAGTTGTAGTTTGCTAAATTGGTTATGATCATAAGGATTTATTAAAATTAGCTTGAATTGGGTGTACATCAGATGGTTACCCTGTTTTCCCCCTTTGATCATGTTTTCAACCATCCATTGTGATTGTTTTCAAAGGCCTACTTGAGTTTGATACCCTAATTTACAAGCTGCAACACCACATAGTGAACAAATTTTGCGTGTCATATTATTTAATGACAATAGAAAAAACTGTCGGGGTACATTGGACAATCCTATGATGAAAAGATTCGGATAACATGTAAATCGAGGAGGGTTGATGTGAAATGGTAGGTCTGGTCCATTGAGATCAAGCTAAAAACTAGATTTGAGAAAGGAAGTGGGTCAGAATTAAAATCATGGTTGATACCATGGTGATCGGACCAAATATATTATGGGTTGAAGTGTATTGGGCTAAATTACACGTAATTACTTTCTTATCACTGAAGTTATGTCATAGGGCGGTTTCATGCGCGATGATGGTATCGCGCTCTATCATGCACGATGGAAGCCATCGCGCCCCACGCTATGCCTTGTGATTTTGGGCCTTTATTCTATATATTTGGGTCCTTGATAGGCCTATCATATTTTATCCAGATCACATGTTAGTTAAAATCTCGATTTAAAGTTGCATTTTTACGGTTTAACAATTTTTTTTAATCGAAACAATTTTATCAAAATTTCAAATGCTTTTATATTTTTACGATTTTTTATGATTTTTTTTTTATGTTAGGATTTTATGTTTTACGATTTGTTATTCTCCTTCCGGTTTTAGATAAAATTCAGATTTTAACTATTATGGTTGATGCTACGCAAGCTACAAGCTTTGATATTTTTTTTATTTGTTTTAAGAAAATTTTAAATACCATACAGTGAGATAGAGAAACATATTCACTTAAATTTTAAATCGCAAAACATATTTTTTAATACATATTGATGTCATTTATAATTTTTTTTAATTCATGTGACATTAATATTTATCAAGTCTGTCTCTTTTTTCGCCACATAAGTGCGTGTCAAATTTCTGTGACATTACTCTGTTTTGGAAAATTTAACATCTTTATTAAAAATTTATTGAGATTCTTAAAACCACCAAACGAGGAAACATGTTTAACTCTATATGCAACACAATCTCAAAAGAGCTTCTCTTAATTGGGAGATTAAGTTTTCTTACGTAATTTTATCCAAATTGATTGGTGGCAATGTCATTGAATTATAACCCCAGACAAAGCTTACCTGGAACATGAAGAATTCAAAGTCTTTAAGTCGCCACTTCACACCAAAAAAATTAAATATAGCATGTCATGTAACAGTGATACGCCGGTGACCGTAATGTTATAGCATATATAATGCCAAAGCTTCAATTTGACCATATGAAGTTTGATATAAATTCGCATTGCAAATGAAAAAATAGATTTCACATAAATTTATGACAAAAAATAGTTAATACGAAAAAAGAAAAGACAGTTTTATATCAAAGAAATTTCTTGGCTTCACAAATATCATAAAATCATCCATGTAGACACAAACCATAAGATTAAATACAGTTTGGTTTGATTGGCAACTGTATAATAATAGGACGCAAACGCAAATTGTATTTAGTGACCAAACAAGAAGAAATGCAGCCTTTACAGCAGACACTAAAAAACAATTTTGATCTGAACACTTATACAGAAAGCAAGCTACACATAGAGAGAACACCCAAGACAAACTTCAACTTTAAGAATCACAAATATCCAGAAATGCAAACTCGAGATTCTTCACACGATTTCTGTGATGGTGATCTCTTCAGTGGTCTGAGAGTCCTACAAGAGAGGAGCAGCAAACCATCAATCACATACTTTACTGCATCAATTTCATAAAAACTAAATTTTTTAGTAAGCTGTTTACCATGTTTTCTTTGTTTCCCTTAGGGGTGCTAACCGGAACTGTGAGCAGAAAAAGATCATAATTAGTGTGTTAGACTTAACAAATTACAAATATATCATACAAGAGATTTTGCTGCACACTTGGTCACTTGCCTTCTTTAACAGCAGATTTCTTTCCATGCTTCTTTACAGTGCCCTTTTCCTTACTAGTTTCTTGCTTGCTTGGCTTCTCAAGTTTTTTCACTGACCTACGATTCCCACTGTGTAAAGCAGGCCTTGGAGTTGTGGAGTTAGTGCTGGAACTTCCCCTTATCCTGGATCCAGGATTACCCTTTTGACTAGTCTCCTCCTTGGTTGACTCTGTTGCAGGTGTGAGTTGTTGAGTAGAATCAATGTTTAAGCACTTGGGTTTCAATTTTCTAATCCCCATGGTAGAAGAAGAGCTATTCACATCATCATCAGAAGATCTAGTTCCCTCTTCTGGCACCTGTGAAATAGTTTCAGACACCTGCAACTGCTCTGTGTTTTCTGAAATATTATACCTTTCAAACAATTCTTTCACAGGTTCTTCAAGGTCAGCAAGCTGATGTCTGCTCACATAAGATTTTAGCCCTTCTTGCATTGACCGTAGAGGCTATGGTTGATATTAAAAGAAAAAGAAAGTTCAATAAATGAGCAAAAAAACAAATAAAGATATTATATATTGCACATAAGTGAGTTTGTCATAAAAAATGTGGTTGTGTTGTACCTCACATCCAGCCTCCAAAGCTAATTTGAAGAATCCAAGTGAAATTGAGTGTTTGGAAGCAGATTCAGAAAGCTTGATCTGGTTTAACCAATAGGAAGCTGAAATTAGAAGATTTGACTTGATTCGGATGGATGATGATGTCTTCTTGGAAATTTCAGAAATGGGTGTTGTTTTGCTTCTGCTTTGACCAATATTAGTCCTCCCAGTTCTAGTCTCGGAGATTGGGGTAATGTTCCCAGCCACCTTGGGGCCAGGAGTGGCTGATGCTTTTGAAGGAATGGAGAACCTTCTTGGTGGTTTAGCACTACCAGACTTGTCCTTGCCAGAGAAATCAATAACACCCACACTTTTACTTACACTTGAAGCATTTCTCCCCCTGAAAATAAAAAATGCAACCTTTCTAAGATACTCACTACTTCAATTTGACCCCAAAACAAAAAACAAAAAACAAAAAAATCACTCGTTCCGTTCCACTCCCCATTAAGCCGGACAAGTAAGGATAGGGATGAGGGCGAGATTCGAATCAAAAAAACAAAAACAAAAAAGAAAATACTGTTTTTCAGGTTGCCTTAGGATGACAGTTCTAACACCAAAGCGATTAAGAAGTTGTGACACTTATTCGCAGGTTCTTAAAATTATTTATATATCTCATTTAACATGATTAAATTAAGTGAAATGCTCTTGGCAATCTATAAAAATTAACAATTACTTCTTTTTTTTTCAATTTCTATCCTAGCGCGTTTTGTCGTGGTCTCTGATACCTCTGATACGAAGATCCACTCTTGGGAACGGTTTAAAGCTTTAATTCTGGACCTGACCCGAATCGGATTAGTTTGGAAACAAGGAACATATTGGAATATTTTCAAAAAAGAAAAGAAAAGAAAGATCTATTTCCAATTTAAACAAACAATTTATGTTGTGGAAACTAATTCGTAGGACGATCGCGGCGGTTCCTAAAAAAACATAACCGCTTCCCGATGATGAAACCGAACATAGCCAACTTTAGAATATTCCAATTCATGTATAAGAACCTGATTGATGCAGAAGAATTAGAACAATTGGGTGTATCAGATTTCTCTTCCTTGGATTTAGTGGCAGAACGAAGCCCGTATCTCTGAAGCTTGGGTCTTGCGGAGTTCCCTGAACAGTAACGCAAGAAAACACAAACAAAACAGAACCCATTTAAATTGTTATTATTGTTGTTGTATTCTATATCGTTACATAGACATATACATTAAAACAGAGAGTGAGGGTGTACCAGAAGAAGAAGCAGCAGCAGAGAGTTGTTCCTTGACGGGTTCTTCCATATCTGATTCTGAATTCTGAATTCTGAATTTTGAGTATTACTATGATGTCGTGTCTTGTGGTTTTATAATACTAAGGTTTATTTTGGTATGGTTTTGTTTTGGGGCGGGAAAAACTTAAAATTTGGAACGTTGATCTTGACGTGTTTCAAATAAACGGAGAGTGATGATGAAGCCACCGAATTCATAGGATTAATTATTTAGATTTACTGAATTTTGTGCATTTATAAATCAAATCAAAGCGTTAATGAAAATGATGGAGTACACACTATTACTAGCTGTTTTGTTGGGCCAAGGTGGACCCATACTGGGCCCAAGTAGCAGGCTCCCTCTCTAAATTATTCGAATTTCAAATTTTAAAATTATGACATAAAGATATGGAGCCGTTTTTATTTTGTAAATAACTGCTTTGCCGTTAGTTGGAAATTGGGATATACCCATGGATCAATACTTATATATCAACATTTTTTTTTTGGTAAGTTATATATCAACATTTTAATTACACTACGAGCCCCATAAAATTAGATGCATTGGTGGACCATGTTATATAAGGTATTTCATGAAATAATTCATTACATAGTTTACATGAGTCCTAATGTTATTAGTTGGAGGCGGTTGGGTTGGTTATGGAGTTCTCTGGCTTCATGAATAGTAGGGCACTGTGGTTCTTGAATTTATGGGAAACATGATTCAATTCAAGGTAGTTAATATTTTGATTTATCACTATGATTTTATGTTTTTATAATTTTTTTTTCATCAAAATAGTTTTACTAATATTTCAAATGTTTTTATGTTTTTATAATTTTACGTTACAATTTTACGTTTTGTGATTTTTTATCCCTTTCCAATTTTACATAAAATTTCAATTTTAACTATCTTGATTCAATCATTTGCTTCGGGCTTGTAGGTAAGTACATGCAGAGTTATTAATACTTTATGATTCTCCATACTAGTATACTATATAGTTTTTATGAGTTTAGACATTGTGCAATGTTGGGGTAGAATAATGTTATTTACCCAACTTCAACCACGGCTACATGGGTTTAAAATTATTATGAAGTTTAGATGGAACTTAGAAGAGTAGCTGTGCACCGTTTTGTATAGGGGTGTGTAAAAAAAACTGGTTCACTTGCTCTGCCCTTGATCTGACTTTGACTTGACTCATAAATACCTATTTTTTTTGAACTGGTTTAAATACTGACCCACTTTTATTTGGGACAGTTCTAGACCTGACTTGTTTTATAATGACCCATTGATCCAAAATTTGACTCATACCCATTATGTGAAAAAAAAGAAAAAGAAAATCACAATTACATTAAAAGAAAAGTTTTAACGTAAAACAATTACATCAAAAATTTTTACGGAAAATATTTCCATCAAAAGTTTTCACAAAAAATTTGTGACTAAAAATATTTCTGTAAAAAAATTTGACGAAATTTTTTTTTTTGTCAAATTTTTTCACAGAATCTAAATTTCGTCAAAATATTTCGCAAAAAATCAAATTCATAAAAAATTTCGATGAAACACATTTTCGTAGAAATTTTTTGAGGAAAAAAAATTTCCTCAAAATTCTTTACAGAATTCAAATTTCGGCGAAAGTTTTCGACGGAAACATTTTCGTTAAACTTTTTGACAAAATTTTTTTTCGGCGAAACACATTTCCAACGAAAATTTTCGTCAAGTTTTTTCATAAAAAATATTTCCATCAAAATTTTGACGGAAAAAATATTATGTCAAAAATTCTTTAGAGAATCTAAATTTCGTCGAAAGTTTCGAATGAAACATTTCCCTCAAAATAATTTTCATCGAAATTTTCGTCAGAACACATTCCCATCGAAATTTTGAACGAAAAACATTCTGTCTAAATTTTTGACTGAATTATTTTTTTGTTTAAAACATTTGATGAAGGAAATCATTTTCGTCAAAACTTTTGACGAAAACTAAATTCGGATAGAAAATTTATTTTTGTAAAAGTTTTCATTAGAGAAAAAATTTCGTCGCTTTTCGACAAAAAGTATTCCGACGAAAAAATAATTTTGAGACGAAATTTTTGTCATTTGCAACATAAAAATTTCGACGAAATTTTGTGATGAAACCAAGTCAAAAACGGGTCAGGTCAGATTTGACCCATTTCAGAAACCAAGTCATTCCTTCTTCAGAAACCAAGTCAGGTCAGATCCGATCGGGTTCTGAACTACAAAATACCAAACTACAAAGCAGGTCGAGTCAGACCTGACTTGGATCACATGAAAGAGGGTCGAGTCAAAATACATGACCTATAAAAATCAAGTTGGGTCGAGTCGACACAAAAACCTGACCTGACCTGACCCATGCACAGCCCTAGTTTTGTAGTTAGTTATGTTCTGGTGGTTTGTGTTCATTGTCCTTGAGGAGAGTTTGTGATAGGGAAAACCTATCTCTTGCACAGTTAAAGAAGAAAGGAAGAAGGAAGAGACTTCGAGAATCAGAGATGAGAAAAAGAAAGTTTATTCACGACAATATGATTCAATACCCATCTGGGCTACACCAATCTGATTTATACATCTCCTATTTCTAGTAGTCTGTTATGATTACACGTGTTCTCCCCTAACTAACTTTCCTAGCAATTACTAGCTTACCCCCACCGCATACACTTAGTCACATGTGAACCTTTTTGGTCTCCTTATTTCTCTTCTTGCTCTGCCTTCAGCAAGACTAGTAACATTTGTATTCATTTCCTTCTCATTTGTCTGTTGTCCTTCAATTCCACTCTCAGCTGCTTGTTCTCCCTCTAGTCTTCGTGTTTCATTCATATCAATACCCACCCCATTAAAACTAACCTTGTCCTCAAGGTTAAAATGTGGATACTGTCTGCGAAAGTCATTGAAATCCTCCCAAGTTTCTACATCCTGAGGTACTCCATGCCAACGTACCTTAAGCTCCACTTGCTGTTGGTCACCCACTGCAATCCTTCTACTGTCAACAATTGCTTGTGGTTCTAATACAGGTAGACCATTAGTGAATACTTCTGGTAACGGAAAAGAGGTGATAGTGTTGTCTCCTTTGTATGGTTTGAGAAGGGAAACATGAAATGTATGGTGTATCTTCGCATGTATTGGTAAGTCCAATTTATAAGCAACCTGACCAATTCGTTTGAGTATTGCAAATGGACCAAAATACCTTTTGCACAATTTGTTGTTCACCCTTTCTGCTAGTGAGGATTGTCGATAGGGTTGTAGGTGGACCCAAACTAAGTCTCCAACATTGAAGTGAGCCTCTCTTCTCTTGCGATCAACATTTGCTTTCATAGACTTCTGAGCCTGAAGTAAATTCTCTTGCAACTGTTGTAAAATAGCCTGTCTATCTAGTAGAGTAGTGTCAACTTCTGCTAAGCTGGTAGGAGAAGAAACATAGTTGAGAATAGAGGGTGGATCTCGACCAAAAACAGCCTTAAAGGGTGTCATTCCAGCTGAAGAATGGTATGATGTATTATAACAATACTCAGCCCAATGTAATATCTTTGACCACCTCTTAGGAAAATCTGCAACAAAGCAACGCAAATACTGTTCTAAGACTCGATTAACAACTTCGGATTGACCATCCGATTGAGGATGGTAGGCTGTAGTTCTCCTCAACTGTGTGCCACTTTGCTCAAATAATTCGACCCAAAATCGGCTAAGAAAGATAGAATCTCTGTCAGTGATAATTGATTTGGGAAGGCCATGGATTTACATACCATAATGGCAAAAAGATTGGCCACTGTAGTTGCTGTGTATTTTTGTGGTAAAGGACCAAAGTGTGCTTGCTTGGATAATCGGTCAACAACCACAAGAATAGTGGTAAAACCATGTGAAACCGGTAAGCCCACTATAAAGTCCATTGATAAATCCTCCCAAATGTTGATAGGAATGGGAATTGGTTGGAGCAAACCCGCAGGTGCTTGGGTCTGGTATTTAACTTGTTGACAAACTAAGCAAGAATGAACAAAATTCTTGACAGCAGTGTGCCAATTGGGCCAAAAGAAACTGGCAGATACTCTGGCCAATGTTTTCTGAATCCCTGTGTGACCACTCATGAAAGTGGAGTGACTCTCTTGTAACACTTGATGAACTAAAGGAGAAGAAGGATCTAATAAGAGCTTCCCTTTATAAAACAGCAAACCATCATGTACCTTATAGTGCAAAGCAGTAGTAGGATCAGCAGTAATGCGTTGATATAACTGTTGAAAGAAGGGTGAAGACATATTCTCTTGTCTTAAGGTTTCCAACAATTCAACCTGAACAGTGGCAGCTGCCATTAAAGACATGAGAGCAGGACATCGAGATAAAGCATCTGCAGCTTGATTCTCCTTACCAGGCTTATAGACAATGGAATACTCAAACCCCAAGAGCTTGGTCAAGTAATATTGTTGTTCAGGTGTCTGTATCACTTGATCTAAAAGACTCCTCAAGCTTTTCTGATCAGTTCTTATGAGAAATCTCCTGCCTAACAAGTATTGCCTCCATTTCTTTACAGCCTCTGTAATGGCATAGAGCTCCCTAACGTATGCAGAGGCCTTCTGCATCCTCAAGGCTAATTTCTTACTGAAATAGGAGATAGGATGTTCTTGTTGAAGCAAGACTGCACCCACTGCTAAGTCAGAAGCATCTGTTTCAACAGTAAAGTCTTGAGTGAAATCAGGCAAAACTAAGACAGGTGCTGTTGTCATGGCCACTTTTAGATTGTCAAAAGCTTGTTGAGCTACAACACTCCAAAGGAAGGAATCCTTTTTTAACAGTTCAGTGAGGGATGTGGCAATAGCTGCATAATTACGAATGAATCTTCTATAGTAGCCCGTTAATCCTAAAAAACCTCTAAGTTCCTTAAGGTTCTTTGGAATAGGCCAATCTAGCATAACCTGGATTTTGGTATGATCCATCCTTATGCCATCTGCAGATACCACATGGCCTAGATAATCCACCTCCTTTTGTGCAAAGGAACACTTACTTCTTTTGATAAAGAACTGATGTTGTTGTAGAGTAGAAAGGACAATTCGGATCTGTTGCAAGTGAAGCTCCATTGTGGGACTGTATATTAAAATATCATCAAAGAAAACAGCCACAAATTTGCGAAGATAAGGTTGCAAAATAAGATTCATAGTTGCTTGAAATGTAGATGGAGCATTGGTTAAGCCAAAAGGCATTACCAAAAACTCATAGTGACCTTGATGCGTACGGAAGGTTGTCTTGTGCACATCATGAGGATGAACCCGAAGTTGGTGATAACCAGCCCGCAAATCCAACTTGGAGAAGTACTGTGAGCCCCCTAACTCATCCATTAGCTCATCCGTGGTTGGAATGGGAAAGCGGTCTTTGATGGTGATGTTATTTAAAGCTCTGTAGTCAATGCAAAAGCGCCAAGTCCCATCTTTTTTTTAACTAGAAGTACAGGAGAAGAGAAAGGGCTGGTACTGAGCCTTATGAAACCAGAATCAAGCATGTGTTGTACCTGTTTTTCAATCTCAGCCTTTTGATAGTGTGGGTACCTATAGGGCCTCACATTAATTGGAGAAGCATGTGGTTGTAGGTGAATCTCATGGTCTAACAGCCTGTGAGGTGGGAGTGCTGTAGGCTCCTTGAATAACCCCTCAAATTCAGAAAGTAAGAGTGTAACTTCAGGACGGTGTGCAGGTGGTGGGTCTATTGTAACCGAATCCAACAGTGTGAGTTGAAACATAGAGGCAACCTGATCATGATGTTGTAATCTTCGAAACTGATTCAAAGATATAGGACCTGTATGCTTATCTCCTTGTAACTTGATTGACTCTCCTGCCCAAACAAACTCCATAGTAAGTTTGCTATAATCGAGCACCACTGGACCCAGAATTTGGAGCCATTGGACACCCAAGACCATGTCAGCACCTTGAATTGGGAGAACATAGAAGTCCACTAGGAAAACGTGCTGCTGTATTTGAACAGGTACAACTTGACAAAATCCCTCACATTTGAGAGTCTGGCCATTCCCAACCATGACATCAAAATGCTGATCAGAAGACATAGGTAAGTTGAGAGCTGCTACCACTTTTGGTTGTAAGAAATTGTGTGTGCTGCCACCATCCACCAACAAACTCATTTCGGATTTGCCAATATGGCTATTGAATCTAAGTGTTTGAGGGACCATAATGCCTGACAGGGCATGAAGGCTAATTTGTGGTGTCACAGAGTCAGGGCAATCAGGAGGAGTGCTCATCATGGAATTGTTGTCTTCTGGTATGATATCATCAGAAGAGTGGGAGAATTCTTCATCCGGTACAATCAAAATATGGACAGAGGCTTTACACTTATGACCAAAGAAGTATTTATCACCACAAGTAAAACAAAGATTTTTGTCTCTTCGTTCTTGTATTTGGCTCTGGGAAAGTTTGTGAGTATATGGTTTCGGTGGATAAGATGCAGTAGTAGGGGTAGTGGTTTTTTGTGGAAATGTAGGTGGTACAGTTTTTGGGGTTGGTAAGAGTGGAGGGTATGGGGAATGCAATTTAGGTGGATAGGGAGAGAACGGTTTAGGGGTGACCTCTTTGAGGGACAACTTTGCTTCTTGTATTTTAGCCAAAGAGATTGCACGAGTCATTGAAGAAGGTTGAAATGAAGCAACTTCTTGTTGAATAATAGGTTTCAATCCTGATACAAAACAACTGAGTAAAAACGATTCAGATAAGCCATGGACCTTATTGGATAGTGTCTCAAAAGCTTCCTGATATTCCAAAACTGAGCCATTCTGCATGAGCTTGGACAATTGTCCTTGGTAATCCTCTAATTCGGATGGGCCAAAACGCACCTGTAGTGCTTAAAGAAAGGAATCCCAAGATGCAACAGTGGTGTTCTTGCGTACCCATTGGTACCAAGCCAGAGCCTTTCCATCAAAATAAATTGGAGCAATACGAAGCTTCTGATCTTCGTGTATGCTGTAAAATTCGAAGAATTGTTCGATTTTGAAGATCCACCCCTGTGGATCGCAGGAACCATCAAACTTGGGTACTTTGAGACGAACATTACGGGCTGCGTGATTATCTTTCAGGGAACTGTGATTGGATGTCGTACCTGATGTTGCTGTGTAATCTCGATGATTATCAAAGATTGCATCAAGCTTGCATGCAATTTCCTGAAATTTTTTTGTCATTTGCTCCTTCAAAACCTCGATTTCAGCTTGTGTGTGGTCCAATCTGTCATCGAATGTGCGGGTTCTAGTTTCAGGGGCCATGTTCAGCTCGATGAAAGCGCCAATTGATAAGGAAAACCTATCTCTTGCACAGTTAAAGAAGAAAGGAAGAAGGAAGAGACTTCGAGAATCAGAGATGAGAAAAAGAAAGTTTATTCACGACAATATGATTCAATACCCATCTGGGCTACACCAATCTGATTTATACATCTCCTATTTCTAGTAGTCTGTTATGATTACACGTGTTCTCCCCTAACTAACTTTCCTAGCAATTACTAGCTTACCCCCACCGCATACACTTAGTCACATGTGAACCTTTTGGGTCTCCTTAGTTCTCTTCTTGCTCTGCCTTCAGCAAGACTAGTAACATTTGTATTCATTTCCTTCTCATTTGTCTGTTGTCCTTCAATTCCACTCTCAGCTGCTTGTTCTCCCTCTAGTCTTCGTGTTTCATTCATATCAGTTTGTCTTCACTTTCTGACTTCTTGATTGATATATGATATGTTTATTTCAGTATGCGGGCCAACATGTGATCTTGTATGTTATATTGAAATTTTTTGTGTTGCCAATCTCTTCAGGCTGGCCATGGTATTTGTTCTGTCGTACATTGGTGAGTTCAACTGTTTTTGTAATTTGGTCTCAACATGTTACTCCGGTTTCTTTGATTAAGTTGTCTATTTTAAATTCAGATTGCAACATCTTCCTTTTTAGTACATTGCATCAACTTAGCCCTTTTTAGTACATTACATCAACTTAGCCCTTTATTTTAATAATTGTTTGTTGGAAAACATCTCTTCTGGATCTGGAATTGAATCGTATGTGGATGATTTATGTGTTTACACTTATCCTCTAGCAATTTCGGGAATGAATTGCAATACACACTCACCTTAAGGTTTTGGAACTTTGAACCAATGATTTTTGGAATCAGATCTTACATAAGAATATGTAAGGTAGGATTCTAAGAGATTATATTAAGTTTCATACGAATCTGGACTTATAGGATTGAAAATTGGAGTAACGGATCGTTGTTGTTGTGCAACGCTAGAGTGCAGAGATGTTATGGCATCAGTTAGGGGAACGTTCTAACCAACCTTTCCTCACTAGATTTTTCATTTTTTTAGTGATAGTATGATTTAATTTTAACTTTATAACTTTGCCTTCGTCTGTTTTGGAAATCCAAAAACACTTAAGTTTGTTGTTCTTTATTTCTCTTGCTTTTATGTTACAACAATTTAATGATTTGATACTTGATTATTAAAAATTAACCACAATCTTTACTCTTTTATCTTCTAACTTTCTCTGTAGTAATGATAATCTGGACTCATTAAGCCTAATAATACTTGTAACACGTGTATATTCACTATAGTGTTTATTATAATTTTAATTTAATTATTTCTTAAAGGATTTGGATCATTAGGCTATCTCAGCAAAAATGATCCCAAATGAGATTAACAATATTTTTAAACCATCACAACTCTTCTAACCTTTTATATAAAATAGAGGAAGATTATACTTACTATCAACTAAGTATACCACTTCTTATCATCATTTTTATAAGTATTAGATAGTGGTGACTAAAACATAATGGAAAGAAAAAGTTGAGAGCGAGAGAGAGTGAAGAAGATGATGGGAAAGAGAGAAAAAAATTTATATCAAATGACAACCGTTGATTTGATTTTATTCGATTGTTACAAGAGAGATAGTAAGAGGTGATAAACTTAGTAGGTGGTAAGTATAATCTCTCTCACAAAATAAATTGTTTTTTGATTTTTTTAAATTTAATAATTAAGAAAATAATATGTTTGTTATTATTTTTATTTTAAACACTTTATTTTATTTTGAATTTTTTAAAACTAATTTGATACGGGTTTGAAAATTTCAAATCATCATACTATGGTAGCCAAAATGATCCTAAAAAAGCATGGAGTTAACATGATGTACAACTGAATTAACCCTTTTATTGTTAAGGGAAAGAAATCTAAATATTTTCATATATATATATATATGGCTTAATATTTTTCATATTATAGGAGATAAAATTATCTTTTACATACACATAAAACCAAAGCACGAGAACAAATAGATTGGCTGCCATCTTTTAACGAAAATAAGAGATGATGGGTAGGCTGAATTTAAAAATGGATTTGGTCAACATTCAACAAATAAAAGCGAGCAAATGTGAAAACAAAGTTATTTGTGACTCGATTATATTGAATTTTTTTAACTATATAAAATTATTCATACAGTTATTAAAAAAAAAGATAGTGACAAACATTAAAGCAGGCATATTGAAAACAAAGTTATTTGTGAAAGAACAGAGGCCAGTGATAAACCTTTGGTTTACCATGTTTTAGGGCTTAATAATGCAAGAAATACATAGTCAATTGCATGAAATTAGGGTTTTATAGCGAAAAAGCATGAAAGTTGGATGTTGAGCTAACATATTATGTTATTGCTTGTTTTGAAGGTAAATTGACACAAAAAGTACTTAAACGAAGTAAAGGACTTAAAAGAGAAAGTTGAAGATCAAAAGAAGTCAATTGATGTAACTTACAAGCATTTTGAAGACTAATTGAGCGCTTTATAGCGCGCTTAAGCGCACTAATGAAGCAAAATAGCCAAAATCCACTGGATGAGCGTGTTCAAGCGTCCTTAATCGCGCTAACAAGGCAAAAATGGCCAATTTCCACTGGAGGAGCGCGCTCAGGCTCTCTACAGCATGCTCAAGTGTAAGAACCTGCACCGTTAAATTAGGGAATTAATTAATTAATTATGAGAAAATAGGAAATAATTCCATAATTGACCCTAATAATTATGAGAAGGCTTAAATAATTATGGTAAGTGATTAATAATGCTGAAAGTTGCTTTTCGGACGAAAAGTGCAAATACCGATTCTGCCTCACAGTATAAATGCGTACCGATGAAGTATTCCGGAAAAATATAATAAGTGTATGAATATTCCTAGAATAATATATAGGAATAGTAAAACAAGTTTCAAGTCGAAATAATGAGAACTGGTGCCAGAACCGATATTGGCTATGTAAAAGCACGTACCGGAAAGGTGCTGCGAAAAATAAAATAAAAATATGACAAATCTTAGAAAAATGAGTAGGTTCATAATCCTAAGTTTGGGATTAAAATGCTAAGCGTAGTTATTAGCACTAATACAGTGCGATTAAGACGTAGGTGGCCTATATAAGGCCTTGACACATAATCCTAGGTCATTGTTTAATGCCTTCTATGTGGAAAAACCTTCAGCTGAGCAGCCTCCACTGTTTCATTGCTTTCTCTTCTCCATTTTGAGGCCAAGGAGCCTCTTTTCTCCTTGAAACTTTCACCAAAACACCATTGTTGAGTGAGAGTTGGCCTTGTGAGGGTGTTGGGTGCTCTATAACCTAGAGTGAGCTTCTGAGTTGAAGTGTTGGAGGGGCTGTTTTCCTTGTTGGTGGAGTAGGAGCCTTTGCCTTAGCTTTTTGAGCTTCAAGTGGTGACCTTTGTGAAGAAAGGGCCAACCTTGATACCCATTTTCGTTCATCTTGGTGTCAACATCATAGGAGCTGAAGGGAGAGCTCCAAGAGCACCTCCTTGTCATGATCCAAGCTTGGGTAAGCTTCACCAACCTTGATCATGAGTTTCCTTAGTTAAAATTGAATCCTTGATGCATGTAACAAACTAAAGCTAATAACTTGAGGTTGGGTAAGGTTAAACACACCTAAAAATGCATGTTTAAGCTTCTGGAATCGCTAAAAGAGCAACCTTTGGGAAGGATATCTCGAGAAATGCAGAACTGCATTTTGTCGCGAAATATCCGGATATGGGGTTTGTAGATATTCGGATATGGATATCCGGATATGGCCCCGACATATATCCGGATATTCTGGGGTTTTCGTGAAGAGTAATTGTACTGTTCATACAGAACTGAGTTATGGTTTTGTGGACCCTGGATTGGTTAATGTGGACTTTTGTATTAATTAATCTAAGTCAGAATCTAAGTAATTCAGGGCTTATGGCTTTGTGAGAAGCCTAAAGACATGAAACGTAAAGGTAGGCATTGTCTTTATGTCATATTCTTGTAGAGTATGATTATTGATATGATTGTTGGTCTAAAACAGATTGTGATCTTACTGTTTGTGGACTTTGAGCTTGTATGGACTCTTGGCTTGGATAGTTAGCTTGCAAGGTAAGATTTCGTGTCCTCGGTTTAGCCATTGTTGGTTCCACCATACCCCATGAGGGAATGGTTTTATGCATGATGTGTTTTCATGTTTGATGGTTGAAATGATTGTGAACTGTTAAGTGCAAGGGCCTTATAATATGCATATGTTGTTCCATCTAGACGGTAAGCCTGAGTATGTGGCGTCATACAATATGGTGATTCTGTGGGTGGGTGCAAGTGGCATCTTGCACTGATGTGGGTAATAGACGTATATAAATCCTGCATTTCTCTGGCCAGTAGAATAGTTGACACACATGACATGATTATCTGTTGCATTGCACTGATTTGGAACTTATATTGTTAAACTGCTTTTAGAACTTATATTGCACATGTAAGTGAGCTTGGGGTGGAGAAATCCTTGAGGACCCCTTGCCTTACTGAGATTTCTGTTTAGAGATCTCACCCCACGTTTGGGGCGCTTATTTCAGGTTCAGGTAATCCAGGGTTGAGACCTCTAGCGGCAGGAGGCCGGAGCTGAGTTAGATATTGCTGCTTATTTTGTTATGATAGGATGTTGGCATGTTTTCTGCTATCTTTATGATTATGTTGTTATTGTTGAGACTTTGTTGGGCTTGTTGCCTTATTTGGTGAGCATGAGGGTTGTCCATGCCACATTGATTGACTATATCTTATATTTGTATTTGAGTTGTATAAACTATCAGGATCGGTCCGGTCTACGTGTTGTAGTTCCGTGACTAGAGACCCATTTTCAGTTATTTAATTAATGAGGTATTTTAGTTAGTTGTTTAATTGCAATTTACATATAGGCAATGTTTTGAAGAAGGAACTAAGTAATCAACTTGGTTAATATTAATGACGTCATAATTGAACAGAAAAAGATATTCTGCATTTTTAATTAAGCATGGCTTAATACGATGACATGTTAACAAACCGAGTATACACGGGGTGTTACACCAAGCGCGCTAGGGTGAGCAAATTTCCCATCGAGGAGTGTGCTCAAGAACTCTCTAGCGCGCTCTGGCCGAAGGATTCAGATATTCAGCACGTTGTTGCACTGCGCTTAAGCGCGCTACACGATCCAGATCCAAGCCCAGAATCAGGATTCACTTAGGGCACAAATTCTGTTGCTATAAAAAGGGATTTGTTCATTAATTAAGTTTTTGAGAGTTTTTGACAATTGAGAGTGAGGGATCCGAAATTAAGGGAGAGAAATAGTTTTCATGCTTTTGAGCGTTTGGAGGAAAATGATTTCCGAATGCATGGGAAGAATCGAAGATTCAA